CTCTCCCATCCCATGGCGATTGATACTGTATGTATCCATCGCCGCGCATGACGAGACAGGAGTACGAATGTATGTCTGTGGAGTCGCCCGGTACATTATCTTGTCTGTGAGCTTTGTCATGAGCATGAGAGCATGACCCGGCCATTTGCATCCAATCTTGTCAATCAGGCCCCCTAACAGGCTCAGCCAATGACCATGTTCAATTGGCTGAGCTGCAACGTGGCGCCCTGTCCTGTTCGCACCCAAGTTTGTAAAATGGGCTCGACGGATGTAGCACCGGCCGGTCCATGTCCGCATGGTTGCATGTGCCTACCAATGCAATGCTTGCCGTCAGGTTCTCTCTCACATTGTTGCTGTTGCTGGTGCTGTTGCTGCCGCGCACACACACACACTCCCCGGACCCTGATGTGTACTTTGAACTCTACGTTCATCTTGTCTTGTCTTGTCTTGTCTTGGAAGAGATTCCACCACTGGTGTCGAGGCTCTGAGCTGATGAAGCGCTTTGTGCTTTGCTCTGCAGCAGCGGGCAGTCTGTACAGAGTTGAATATTCCACATATAGTCCACTTCGCCATCGAGTCCATGTTCAGCGTTTACCCATTACTGTCCGTACGCGTCTGGAAGTGTTTCCTAAATAGGACACAGGTGGTAGACCCATCCAGTGCATGCCTTTTCACACACTGTGACGCCATCTATGCATCCAAATAAATGCCTTTCGAAACTAGTAACGGAGATTTAGGGCAGCATTATTAAGAAATCTCCTATGGTGTGGACATGTCTTACCGTTCCTCTCGTATGAAAGATACGTCCAGGGTATACGGTCGTTGTTCACCATGACCTTTACATATTTGCAACTGTATAAAAGAATGTATATTTGTTGATATTAGGTGGCTAGCTATTTGGGGCGCAAACAACCCGGCCACTCCTCCGTTGAATCGTCAGTCGTCTCATTCCCGCCCATTCTCGCAATTCTAAAATAGATGCAGTAAAACCCGCGTCTACAAACGTGACACAAAAACCAGGCCATACACCAAATCATCCACCAGCCACATGCCAGCCAGTATCTCAACCAGTTGAGCACAATATCCAAGATGGCGTTCTGGTGTCCCAGTATAGTAATTGCGTCTCGGATGAGCTGTAAATCCGAGTTCCTCAGGTAATCCATGCAGCCATCCGTCCATGTTATGAGATCCCGTGTAAGTGCGAATAAATAGTTGCCCGAGTAGCCCGTCAAGATGGCCGTGCATTCTCGGAAACCCCTTGCAGGTCGAGAGCAAGGCTCGAGCATGCAGCTGGTGGCGAGGGTCGAGCAGAAACAAGCGAATACGCCGAGCAACAGAACCGAAGACCACGCATCTCTGGTGTCTTTGGACTGCCGTCTTTCAACCTCTAGCATTGTTATGGAGTATAATACTACCAGAAGGGCGAGAGAGTATAAGAAGACTGCATCCAAGACACGCTCGGAGAGCGGTCTATTGGGGGACGGCGTCCCGGTTCGACGAATCGATCGTAGTGTTATCGATCTCATAGGGCGCCTGTGAAAGTGGTTTCTAGTAAAATGTGGGAAACTATCTTGTTCAAAGGCTCGTTTCGGTGGACCTGGCGATATCTTCCTCGTGTGGATGATATACGAAGTTGTTCGATGATCCGCAGGGTATCTATGCCGCACGGGCTCTTTGATGCGAAGATTGCGAATGTTTTTTTTTCCATAGTTGACAAAGGATGGAAAAGATTTTTTGACACGTTGCATACTAGATAGGCATATATTATCGGCCTTTTAGATACGAAGCCATTAAATCTTATTACCCAGGCCGGAGCTACATGGTCAAGCCATGTCTGAACATGCTCCGTAGCATCAGCCATTGAGTACTGATAGCCATTGAACCTTATTGCTCATATATATAGCTCTGCGAGATATGAGTGGACTTTTTATAATGTTGTTGGCTTTTTATTACGCCGCGTGGCGTTTCGTTTCATCAGGAACTCTATTGAAGCTACATCATGAGTTTGAGGACCCTCACCTAGGAGACGAGATAACCTCTGCCGCAGTGCTATAAATAAAACCACTGCATCATCTGTGACAACGGCTTGCCTATACATCTTACCAGGTATCAGGTACACAATGTTGCTCATGAAATTGCAAGCAAAAGCGACGCACTGTCTGTCTGCATTCCCATAAACGCCCCGCTTGGGAGATATTTCGGCCTACTTCGGTAATACCCTGTAGATTAAACACCCGGCAGACCCTGGATCTGAATCTCTCTTTATTGCAACCATCGCAGTATCCAGCCGTACTACTATAGGCTAGACAGTACGAGCACCAACAAACACAGCGCGACTTGTATCATCAAATCCTTCATGTCAATTACACGTCCCTTTGATCTCAAATCTCGGCCACGCCTGATCCTGATGGGGTCTCGCCTTGACAGCTTCGATTCCAGAACACGATGGACTTTTCGTTTCTTCATATTTTGATGTCTTTTCCAGCGGCCCCACAGAGAGGCCACGAGACCATGAACCAGCCCCCTGTCGAACGAATGCTCTCTAGGAGATGCACGTCCGGGACAGGCGTCCCAATGTGGTGCAGCAAAACGTCTGCTTTTCTGTTTTCCCCTTGTCGTTGCCAGTCAAGTGACTTGTTTAATTTTTTTAAATGGTTCGAATTGAGTTGTCGTCGTCATTGTTTTCTCTTGAGGCCGGGCAGATTCAATACCACACTCTACGGAGAACAAGCTGGATGTAGTATTGGGTACTCGTATATAGCACCTTTGTGTGCACATGTATGTTGTCACACTCTCGATTTTGAGATGCCACTTGGGTACATGTAGTCGACAACTGCATAATCCAATATGGCTCTGTGCGTGTAGTCACACCTATTTGTACTACTACACCTCGGTACACCTCCGTAACACGCAGATAAGCTGCAAGAGAAGTGAGAGACCATCAGGTACGAGTACGGCCAGCCGCGTCTATAGTACTCACAGACCCAGACGGGACTTGAATCCGAATGGCCGCCTCGCCGGGCCACATATTGAGAAGACGGCAAATTTTCCCCATAACAGAGCAAACAAAGATTGGACAAATCAAGGCAGAGCTGCAGTCCTCATTGGATGGGGGCGCTGAATTGATGCTCGTACTCACAAGACCCAGCCCCCAACCCTTGCCAGGTCAGACGGGCTTTTGCAGCTGCAGGGAGCAAAGAGAGACACCACAGGTAACAGCTAATTGATTGGTATCAAGTGTAGTCAGCCGAGCACAGACGTTTCTCATGACTATTTGCCTGTAATGCTTAGCTGCAGGTTTTTGTGGCGGCTGTACGGAGTATTGGGATTTTGACTCGTTTGCTTGCCTTGAGGGGGACGGGTTACTGGTGGATTGCCCTCTTTTTCCTGCATAGACAGAGGGCTGTCACTTATTATGCTGATATACGAGTCAGCTATGGAGGAAATGGAGGGCGTGTATTCCAGCGTTGTCAGCTGCCAGTATTGCAAAGTACTCTTTGCAGACGGACCACTTCAAGGTACGACACTGTAGATGTGATGTGATGGGTTGCAGAGGTTGTGCCTGACTAGGGAAGAGGTTGGCTTGGGAGTAAAAGCATTGCACAGCAGCTAATTTGTCTATACAAGGTAGATTACTTTCACTCTGTAGGCATAAAGGATTTTGTTAGAACGGCACACTCTAGGTTCACACATCTTCCTTACCTACACTGGCTCACGAAGCTACCTGGTTTGAACTCAGACATGCTTGTGGTTTCAACCCTGCTATTGATAACCGAGTACCTACATAGCACGGCAAACACCCGTCTCAATTGTCATTTGTAAACCATTCACATAATGCTCGAATAACAGAAATAGCCGCCATTCAATCCAGATAGAGAACTGCATGTCTCAGACATCGCAGCACACGTCTTAGATAAGGTCAACTCACTCACTCAAAGCACAGTATCGAGTACGAGCACAAACATGTCTTCCATCCCGCACACTCCAAATCTCGGATGTCGCATCCGTCTGTACACTCACCCATCTAGATTGCAAGCAAGTTGCCACTCCCGCAACAATAAGCTCGCCTCCCCCCTTTTTTCATGCTTCTCGATTCCAAATCCCTCCCCAGAGCTACTCCGTAGTCAGTCTGGGAATTCAAGCCACCCGTCCCCCATCTAGTCTATCTTGTAGTACAAGCGCAATCTCACCGGGGAGCCGGAGATAAAAACCCGTCTATTGGAACTTTGAAACTCGTTGATTGTTATTGTTGGGATTTGGTAGTGGTGGCAGTTAGTCAGCAAAGAAACTGCTCAAGGCTATCTGACAGGGTGTGGGAAGAGGGATATATCTTTGTGCGTAACACACGTTCTTCGCAACCGCTAACCATCTCCCGCTCGACAATCTTTCCACACTTCACATGCTCCCCTTGAAGCCTCAGAGACTCGCCCCAAGCTGAAACTCGCATATGCAGGGAGACATTAGACAGACACAAAGCGAAACAAGAGCGCGCCCCGACCAGCTGCGTGTCTGGCCCCAATGGGCAGCCTGTGTCTTGGCAGAAGAGAGAGAGAGAGAGAGGGAGAGAGAAACGCGGCAGAATTCGGCCAACAGCTGAGAGGGTGTGCCGATTCAACACAAGCGCGTCTCCAAGTCATGCGGGAGCGTCAGCAATGTTCCCCTTTTCCGCATCATGCTAGGCTCTTGGCCCCCTTGGATGCGGCAAGCCGGGAGTGTCACCCAGCAGAATCCAAATTACGTGCAGTTCGTCTATCCGAAGGAGCGGGAGCATCGGGTGATATTGGATGCGTCAAAGTCTTGGCCGCGCTCCTCTTCCATCATCGTACCAGAAAGTGCGCTGCCACATTGCCACCAAAAGCCTTAATTTACCAAAGAACAAGACGTGAGGGATGATGCAGCATCCGCATACGCTCTCAGTTTTTTGTCACCATCTGTTTCTCCTTTGGCAAGCGGTTAAATTCTCAATGTAAGTTTTGGTGACCACTACTTCGTACTTGTACTTAAATCTCATCGTGAATCTTGTCCGCCACCATGTCTTTCGCCGTATTGACCACCTTTTCCGTCGGCCTCTCTAGCGGCTCAGCTGGGCTGCCCAACCCGCCGGGAATTGGGCTCATCTGGCCGCTCTCTGGCCTGCTCAAGGGCCGGCTACCGGGTATCCTAATATCATCGGGAGAGCCTGGGAGCAGCTTAGGATCCAAACCAGGAATGTGAATACGCTTGGCTTCATTCTGATAGGCGGCAGGAATAATCTCAATAATCTCGTCGCGGGGGAACTTGAGATTGGGGATATCCATGGTGGAGCAGTGCATGAGATAGGCAAACAGCACGCGAAGAACAGACTCGTGTGCGATAATTAACAAGTCGCTCTGCTCTCGTTCCAATTCTAAGATGATGGGCTCAAGTCGAACGGCAAGGTCATGGTAAGACTGCATAGGGAGAAATAAAGGGTTAGCTTTCAATCTTCGTCGCAGGGAGTTCCAAGAAGAAGAAGAAAAAAGAACTTGCCTCGGCACGGGGATATCGATGATGATACGGGTCGAGCGCATGCTTTTCAACCTCTTCGGGGTATATCTGCCTAATCACGCGCTCTGACATCTTCTCGCAGACGCCGGGGTTGATCTGGCTCATCTGGGAACGTTGCCGAACCTTGTATCCCTTTTCTTTGAGGTAGTCGGCAGTTTGAATGGTGCGAAGTCGAGTAGACGTCCAGATTGAAAGTGGTCGGAGGGGCGTCTCGGGCTTGCCCTTGGCGATTTGCTCCAGCCTTTCTTGTTCGCGATGTTTAACAAGCGTCTCGGACATCCGTTGAGCGTAAAACCTGCCCTGTTCTGAGAGGTCTGCGTCTGCCTTGTACGAGTCTTCCTCCGTTGTCGTGCCCGCACGGACAAAGAAGGTGGTTCGTGATTTGATATGGAGGTTGGTCAGGTAGAAGACGATTCTGTGAGACAGGTAGTTGAAGCTAAGGTTGTTGTAGAAGAACTTTTCTCCAGCATTGATCATCTTGATATAGTTGAGCTCTGTCTCGTTCATCGTCTCGAATACTGGGATTCTCATCTCTATTCTTTTCAAGTACATTTTTGCTGCTTCATCGGGATCCATCCCAGCAAACTATAGTCATGGTTAATGTTTGGAAAGAGAGAGGCGCAACTGCGATTCTGTGTGGCTTGAAAGGCTTACATCAGGCGAGGAAATCTTGACGTTGATGGCGTTGTCATGCAAAATCTGGTCGTCATTCACAAAGGATTCAATATACAGAGTCTATGAGAGACTTGGTGTTAATATTTGCAACGCAAGAGAGAGAGAGAAAGCAAACCGAATACGGTTTGCTAAACCTTACCTGGACGTCGTGCTTTGCAAACTCCTTGGCCAGAGAGCGCCTCCCACTCGCCGTTGGGTTGACCGCGTCGTATATAGCAACCTGGCCGTTTTCATGATTCAACCATGCATAGATATCTTCACGGCATTTCTTTAGAATCTTTTGGCGGAGTATGACGGATGAAGGGGAAGCATCGGGGAAGAAGTAATCATCGGGAAGCGAGCCATCAGGACCAATGGTCGCTCGGCGGTAGTCGCCCAAGTGGAAAATACGAGTCTTGACGCCAAGCCATTGAAGATAGCGTGCCATGGATACGCAAATGTGTCTACCATTTGTCAATCTTTGGCTTGAATCTCAGCAACCTTACTCTCGTTTGACTTACGTCTTGCCTCGAGCAGGCGGCCCAACCATGACAATGGCAATACGGCCAGAGTGAAACAGCCGCCCAGACATGGTGCTGTAAAGCTGGGCCGGCGCCATATCATTATCCTCCGACACATCGTGGATACTGTCGATAAAGGTTGAACTCCTCCGGCGATACCGGGGAGCGTTTGCCGCGATCTCAGCGGTCCTGGAGTCCATTTCTGTCAGTCCCAATTCTATCCTTGTTCAATTCCCAAGTTTTGCATGCGGATGTAAACGGATAGTGATGGAAAATCACCTAGTGCTCAAAGTCACATGTAGTGGATAAATATGATGTGGTTTGGACTTGGTTGGATTAGGGGCAGGGGTTGAAAAGGAGAAGCGGAGGGGCCATCAGTGAGGCGCTTCGAAAGGCATCACCACAATAGCTTCCATGCTCCGGTTTATTCCCCATGTGAGAAGCAGCGCACATGATTCACTTACAGCAGGGTATCCATTTTGCTGGTTCAAATCAACAAGCGGGTATATGAATGATTCCACCGAAGCTTTGCTAGGTAGCTCGGAAGCTGGAAATATCGATGCTCGAGAAACAAGGCAAATTCTTCTGTTGATGCTCGAAATATACGGTACAATGAGTTTCGCAAGAGGTCGAGTTCACCGAGAAGCCACAGTACAAGCAGCGCGTCTGTTGAAACTTGAGAGATCTCAGGCGACCTTTGATGCGGTGAGATATGCGAGATGAGATCCGACCTACTTCAGCCTCGCGCCCCGCTTTCCAGGAATGATGACACCACCGGGATTTCAGGCGACAAGATGCTTGTAATCGCTGGAGAGTCTCGGCTCCGTTCAAACAGATCCGGCTGGTGCAGGTCCGGGCAACGATGAAGCCTGTTGAAAATCTGTGACAAGGGCAGCAGCCGTTTTTGATGCTTTCGGGAGCCGCACAGGCGGATATATTCGGTTCTAGGGTACTGCTTTGACGGATGCAAAATGAAGAGGCCGTTCATGCATGCAAGGGGGCGCTACGGGCACTTACGGGAGGTACAAGCTCGGAACAGCCCAGCCAGGTATCTCGGTACATGACCAAGGTACCTCGCGACACACAACCACTGATGAGGCACTTGAGCTACCCCACCATCCCTCATTGACCATTTCTCGCATGCCAAGGCAGATGGATGCTGCTTGTGAACGGAATGGCCATTGACGTAGCTCTGTGTTTATATATTTCTTGTATTCATTCTGAATGGAAAGTGATGCTGGTGCCTGCATATACATGAAGCTGTGTACTACTAAACTTAGGTAAGTGCTTTTGTGTATCAAAGTACCCCCCAATGTCTACAAGCGACAAGTACGAAAAGTACCTGCCAGATACCCAATACCTGCACAAAGCCTCCAGCAGCCACGTGCCCACAGCCACCGGGGCCGGATTATCGCAGCGTCCGCCCACCAAAAAAAAAACAGCGTCTGCAAAGGCTCAACTCGGCTGCGTCACAAAGTGGCTCGTGCAGCTCCCGCAGGCTACTGTACGTACTGTACTGGAACTGGCAAACTGGGTCGTCGATTGAAAATTATTCTCAACGACTCCATCCCATTATAGCCGCCTTCGGAGCTCGACCACTGCGGCAAAGCCAACATCCGCGACCGAGGCTTGCCTGAGGCTCTGGATCCCCTTCCATCCAGACATACAGACTGAGATTCTCTGGCCCTGACCAGCGCAGCGACTCCGGTCCCTCTTCTTGTCATCTTTTTTTTCATCGGCTCGGCTCAAGAGCCGCCACAGATACCGGCATCATGGCCACTCCCGTCGACACATTGCGGTCCCTCATATTCTCCAACCCCGTCGCCGCCACAATAGGAGATGCCGTCAACTACTTCTCCGAGCGGAGGGCAAAGCTCGGCCTGTCCAATCCCGGCACAATAGAGTCCCTGTCCAAGGAAGTCCAGCGCGATGTCTTCCTCAACAACTACATGTTCACCGGCATCCGCGCCGACCTCACAAAGATCTTCAGCATGGCGCCGCTGTTCCAGGTCTCTCACCAGTTCGCAATGGGTGAGCGCATCAACCCGTACACTTTCGCCGCCATGTTCGGCACCGGCAAGGTAAGCAGCGTCGCATTTCCTTTGCCACCGAAGCCGCACCACGGAACTAACTCGGGGCTCGATTAGATCTTCTGCCAAGGCAACGTTGACAACGAAGGCTCCCTCTCCGGCCGTTTCAACTACCGATGGACCGACAAGCTGGTTTCAAAATCTCAACTCTCCATCTCCCCTGGCGGCCAGGACATGGCCCAGTTCGAACACGAATATACCGGTGACGACTTCAGTGCCTCTCTCAAGATGCTCAACCCCTCTTTCCTCGAGGGTGGAGCGACTGGCATCTACATCGGAAGCTACCTGCAATCCATCACCCCCAAGCTCGCTCTCGGTCTGGAAACCCTCTGGCAACGCCCTGCTCTGACTCAAGGTCCTGAATGTGCCGTCTCCTACTGCGCCCGATACAAGACCCCCGACTGGGTCGCCACCGCTCAATTGCAGGCTGCTATGGGAACTCTCAGCGCTTCGTACTGGCGAAAGCTGTCCGACAAGGTTCAAGCTGGCGTTGACCTGAGCCTCGGTCTTGTCCCCTCTCCCGGCGGTCTGATGGGCGGCGGCCTGCAGAAGGAGGGTGTCACTACCATTGGTGCCAAGTACGATTTCCGCATGTCCACTTTCCGAGCCCAGGTCGACTCCAAGGGCAAGCTGAGCTGCCTCTTGGAGAAGCGTGTCGCTCCTCCCGTCATGATGACCTTTGCTGCCGACATTGACCACTTTACGGTATGTGATTCCCCAACCCCAAGAGACCAGAATTCCCTCCCTTGACTAACTGTTTGATTAGCAACAAGCCAAGCTCGGCCTCGGTGTTTCGATTGAGGCTGCCCCCGAGGAGCTCCAAGACCAGCAGGAGGCCCTGGGCGCCCAGTCTCCCCCCAACATCCCGTTCTAAATGGCCACGACTGGACAATCCCAGCACAGCGCAGATTCCATGATCGGATCTTGGTTAATAGACCACTAATGTAGTAGGACTGCTGGCCAACCAAGGACGAGTGGGACGTGTAGTCCATCTATTTATGCCGCCTCACTCATGACTTGTCTGATTATTAAGGAGAAAAAGAAGAACAGAAAAAAAAAGAAGAAGAAAAAACAAGAGAACTTCCACCGCTGCTATTCGACGACTCTTTCAGGGGATAGTAAAGGACGACAGCGGGGAAACCAAAAAAAGAAAAACTCCTCCCTTTTCGATAGACTCTACGAAGCCCTTTCTCATGGTAGGGTTAGGCCATGGCTTCCACAATGGGGAGGAAACGCACACGAGGAGAGGGAGCGAGGAATGAGGGAAGAGGATAGGAGGAGGAGGGAGTTAATGTGATTCATGACGATGGCTCTCTCAAGTCTTTTCTGAGGGGGGCGCTATGCCTCAAAAAAATGCATCAATCTCAGCTAACATGGCATTTCTTTGCATATTGCCCCCCCGTGTATATTAACTTTTTTTTTCCAAGGCCGGTGCATTCTTGTATTGGGCTAGGGTGAAAAATGGGCGGCATGTTGAAAGCATTTTGGGATGTCGTCAATTACCTTTGTATGGGATGGAATGGCTACGTTGTAGGGAAACCAAAAAAACAAAACGGAGGGGGGGAAAGGGGAGGGCTGGAGTTAGTATGGCATATTTGGTCAAAAGGCCCAGTCTTCTTAAGTTGCTTTGCTTTTCATGCTGAAATGTACAAGAGAGATAGAGGAAATGACGAGCTTGAATGTAATGCATTGACGAAGATACCGCGGAATGGGAGCATAGAGAGAGCTCATGTATAAAGGTGAAAAGACTGATTGTAACCAATTCCCTTGAATCACTACCTTATTTGTCTGCCAAAACAACAAACAACAAACTTCCCATCCACCAACGCCATGGTATCTCTGTATATAAAGTTGCCTTGTTTGATTTTCTCTTTTTTTGGTTTCCACCTCCCCTTGAGGATTGTCCACCATACATATCCTCGTCACATGTATGCCAAAGTAACGTAAACGTCATGATTCTTCGACCGAAGCGCAATGACCATAACGGACTTCGAAAGAAAAAAAATATAATGTATCCAAGCCAAAGAAAAAAGTGCACGTCGTCCTGCTCTATGCTCCGAACCTATAACGCTGTTGTTATGCCTCATTGTGAACAATACATGCATCTAAACCCCGAGGGTACATCACATCACTATGCACTCCCGCTCTGGCTGATCCCCTGTCTTCTGTTTTTCATTCTTTTCCTTGGACTTCTTTCTCTTGTGTTTTTGCTTCTCAACCTTTTCTACCTTTTCAGGCTTGTCGTGTTTCTCAGTGGCGGGGTGGTGCAGCTGCTTTTCGAGTGATGTGGGCGACCCAGGCTGGGGACTAGGCTGTCCTGTTGAGTTCGCAGTCGAAATATTCAGTACTGGTGGTTCCGGCAGCGGCTCTTTGCTCGTCTTGATCAAACCGCCAAAGCGGCTCAGGTTGAGACTGATGCGGCCCTCGCCCGATTGGCTGGCAGGGCGGCTCTGTTTGCCCAAGTTGAAGCGCGATGCGGCACGCGATAACCTTGAAGCCGTTGATTCGTCAACCGGTGCCATGGCGGGCGACCCAGCATCCGGAGTTATGGATGGTGTGTGAACAGCAGAATCGGTAAGGGCCACGCTCTGGCGACGGGAGATGACCGACTCCACGTATGAGCCACCAAAGTTCATGCTAATGCCTTCCAGCCACTTGCGAGATGGGCGCTCAACTTCTGCGGATAACCTGATGCTGGGTGTTTTGCTTTGACCCAGACGACCAGTCGAAGCCGAAGCTTGATGTTCATGGTGGGTTGCCAATGCTTGAGTAGAAGCTGAGGCTTTGTGCTCGTGGTGCGATACCAATGCTTGAGTGGAAGCCGAGGCTTGCTGCTCATGGGGTGGGTGCGCTACCAGGGCTTGGGTGGAGACCGATGCTTGATGTTCGTGATGCGTTACCAGTCCCTGAGTCGAACTGGAAGGTGTTTCATCGCTAGTTGTGGAACGCAGTATCTCAAGACTATTCTTTGACTCGTCATAAGACGGCGGCCTGCCCTCTGTGCTTTCCGTTGGACAAGGTGCGTCGACCATGGGTACAATCTGATAGAAAAGCAGGTACGGCATCTCGACCTTTAGAGATTCTTTGATGTCGTCGACAAACGTGACCCTTCTGCCGATGTCTAGGTCGTCAAACCTCACCCACTGTGCTTCTTCGTAGTCTGGAGGTGGATCGAAATCATGCCTCCTGTTATCCGTTAGAAGCTTCGGGGCGACCCTGGCAAACGAAATGTAGTGACCGCTTTGCAAAGAATCGCCTCTGTGGCAGACAATGGATTGCAGGACAAGCTTATACTCTGTCGCTAACCCATTAGTCTCCTCTTCTATATGTGGGCCATCGGCGAGCATAAAGTGAGGAAGTCTCATGCTCTCGGGGATGTCGATGTAAGTATTGTGGCGCTTAGGTAGGCCAGTCTCGGTCATGGCATATCGTTTCAAGCAAATGCCTACTACTGGGCGCTGATCAAGATTCATTGCTACTTCGACATTGTTTCGAGGCTCGGTGCTGTTAACTGCGTGCCAGGCTGCGTGGGATGTTAGTAAGATAGGAAATAATAGTAGAGATTGTACATACGAATTAGGCGGAAGAATTGCCATGCAGGTATGGTGACGGCCTTGATGACGGTAGACCCTTTCAAACTCAGCCTCTTGCGTATGTTCTCGGAACTGGATGGGCGGCCTCGGTCATCAAGCATTATCCGTTGAATGACACTGGTTGACCTATGCCGGATCGTCATCCGAGAAGAAGATGCCCCCGCTGAATCACCCGCAGCAGTCGATTGTGATGCATCGCCGAGAGTGCTGTTCTGGCTCGTTCCATTGACCTGCTCCGACGACGAAGCTTCCGCTCCATCCGTCTTCTCTTCAACCTTGTCCTCTCTCTTTTCCTTGTCAACCTTCTTCTCTTCAAATTTGTCCTCTCCCTTTTCCTCGTCAACATTCTTCTCTTCAACCTTTTTCTCGTCAGCCTTCTCATCGGCTATTATCTCCTTAGCCCCTTCTTCTGGTTTTTCTTCTTTAACTTTCTCCTGCTTGTTCGCTTCAAGAGGAATATCTGGCAGTGGTTTCGAAGGCGACATCTCGACTGGGGATAATGTCACGGCCGCAGGTGCCACAGTGCTTTCTCCATCCCTAATCAGCTGGATTTGGTTGGGAATCAATAGCTGAGAAGGCGAGTTTAGAGTGCCGTCCTCCGCAATCGACAACTTCTTTGCCTCCTCGCTGTCTCTAAGGACGTCGACTTGGGTGTTGAAATACTCTTCTAAGCAATCTTCTAGCTTAATGCCGTTACCATCGGAATCTGATGGCACTGCTAAATTCAATAATCTCTCATAGACGATCTTGTGGTCATCCTTGTCGAATTTGCCTTGGTGAAATAAATCAACCTGTAGTGAAAGGAGTGGCAGTTCTAGCTTTTCTGTGAAAAATGCAAACGCTTCGGAAGTATCCTGCTGTTCTAAAAGGCGAGCTTCAGGCCAACCACATTCGGCCATGGAATCTTGTATTAGTTTCGTCTAGACATGTTAGTAAATTGCATACTCCCCAGATTGAAGTTTGTCGCTCCTCACCAAGTCTGTGCGAATCAGCTTGCCCGTCCGTAACATGTTGACCCATATGCGCAAAAGTACGACGAGTCTGTGCCTGGGGTCATCCTCTGGGAAATCGGTTTTGAGCATGCACTCAAAGGCGTCCAACTTGGAGAACATGGCGAAGAGAAGGGAGTCTATATAACAGGTAACGGCGCTGCGGTTCTCGGCACCAACCATCTGAACACTTGGGTCGTAGGGCATTATAATCCCAGAAGACGACTTTTGCTCAATGTCGATGAATTGGACGGCGCGTTCCAGGTCTCCACCAACGAATTTGGTCCCCAAGATGTCTCGGACATGCTCCTCGGTGATGTTCATAATGTGTAATTGATCCAAACGGTGCAGGATATCCTCAACCTACCAAGTGTCAATGTTTGTCTGGATCGAGATGAAGAGGTTCGCTCGTAGACATGGCAAAGAAGACAGCGCAACACACCTTGGCGACCTCTCTCGCAGCGTCCACCTCATTTTGGTGGGTTTGTTTCGCATGGTCGGGCTTGAATATGGAACGAAACGCTTCTGCAGAGAGGGGATGGGCCTGCCAGTGATGTTTAACATTGCCGAACCAAGAGCGACGTATGATGAATGATTCAAAGGCTTCCGCCATGACATTCCCATGTTGAATGAGGAGGTTGGCTGGTGACTGGTGGAACGTGATTTACCTTGTTCGCAGGAGGAGCCGACTTGCTACGATGGTGCTCGCCGCTCTTATCCCGCAGGCTGAGAAACTTTCTAGGGAATTCCTTCATTGTTCAAGAATGACGGCCAACGCCCGATGACGAGGGAAAACGTAGAGCAAGTGGAAATCAAGCTCTCGCGACGACCGGCGAGAGGTGAGGCGTTCGGTGCGCCCCCATTATAGGGCGAGACAAGTCTCGGCGAGGCGCTGGCGCTGGCGCTGGCGGGGGGCTGGACGGATTGCGACGATGGCTTCTTGTCAATAGGAGTCTTTTTTTTTTATTCTTGTTTCAGCCTGACGGCCACTCGTCTTCGTCGGCCGCGATGCGAGGTTATGGCAACCAGGTGAGGCTTCGTGTCGGACAGTCTAGCTCGAGGGGAAACGCTGCGCCACAGACGTGGGTGAGGAGCAACAGCTGCAGTCTAAAGTTCAGAGGCTTGTCGAAACAGAACTTTCCGGGGCAGTACAGGTGAAGGAGGAGAGATGACGGCTGTTGAGTTGCGCAACAACTCCATCAAATGTACTCGAGCGGTTGGTTCCAGGCGCAGCTTCAAATAAGGTCCGGTCGGCAGCAAAGGTGAGTGCTAAAGTTAGTGGGTCGTGTTGGCTGATGTTACAGTGGCGGGGAGGTGGGCCCGGTCTTCCAGGGGCTGATAGTGGGCTGGAGGGCCCTGAGGGACGCTATAGCGCGGCGCGATACTGCACGACAGCCCATCGAAGCCTCATGGTGGCATTGAGAGATTTATAGATCGCTGCCACCTGCAGACTCTGCCCATGCAGTCTAATTTGCTGCTTCGTACATGCGCTGCACCCATCCATGGAAATTCCACGTCTCTTCGCGGGCTGCTGCAGCAGGATCCGCAATTGACCTTGTCACGGCTTGGCGCCAATCATCTGCGCCTTGTGAATCAACATGCACAGCACAGGCAAAAGGGCATCGGGCTTCGCCCCAGGGCCGCCAGATCCGCAAATTCGGCTGCCTTGATCGACCTGAAGCTGAACGACGGAGCATCTGCGCGGTGCTAAGGCGGCCCTTTGCCATCCCTGCGTTCTCGTGCCTCGCCAAACTGACTATTTCAGCGGCCTCGTGGCCTGCGTACGAATGCCTACGTAATTCTGCCAACAGCACTCAAGGCAGACGATATTCGGCCACCATGGAGTCTACGCACGTCTGCGCGCTTCTAAGCAGCTCGTTCTTCCCCACATCACGGTCATGTTACCTGCCTGCCAAAGTATCGAGGCTTCTCTGAGTCGTGGGCGGAAGAGGCGGGACTAGACATCATTGCGCGCGAAGGGGATCACAGGAGGGGTCTTTTACTAACAGTTAGGGCGATCTTTTGGAAGATTCGGTCAACTAACCTACTTGTAAGCTTGTCAGGGCTCATGTGCTATATTTACTTCCGTCACGAGCCTATCCAAAAACCTTCCATCTCCCCATCGACATATGAGTGTTGGGTGTAGGCTAGTAAATCAGGCACTAGCCATTCCAAGTTTTAGGACGAACCTCAGCTCTGGAGTGGCCGATGCTTCCTCAACCATTTGATCTTTTTTTATGCCTCTGAGCTGTTTGAAGTTCTACGTCTTGACTGAGGTGGAAAATCGCCTAAAAGAAGACATACCCAGTACTAACCTACCTGTAAGCAGGAGATTCGGCCAGGATGAAGACTCCAAGCGAATGCCTCCCTACAGAAGTAAATACCGTCACCACTGTTGATCTCTCTCAGCCCTAATCATCCGGCATCGCCTTGCCCCAAGGGGTCGCGCTGGAAGAAGAAAAGTATCTGTGCGAAAGCCGAATGCCAAGGATTTGTATGAATGATCGTCCTTTGCCTGCTGGTGCTGAGCAGATACATCGGATGCTATAGGACGCTGAAATGTCAGCGGCTTTCAACCCTCATGGCGTGACTGAACGCATCGAATCAGCAGAAGGAATACAAGGTGCTCCCCAAGTCAGGCGGCTTAGTAGAGGCTACTAGGTAGTCTCAAGGGACTACCGAAGACGGGCGAACCAGAGGGTCAATAGCACGACAGACGTATTATGGTGTAACATCTTGTTGTGTAATCTTACCCACTATCTACGGCTAAAATCGACTATGGTGTACTGATTCCATACTATGATACGAAATACCAAATTCGTAGAGTCGAGAGACTAATAGGGCACCTCTTTTGTGGTGACTTACACATTTGATGCTAAATTACAGGGCAGTTTTTGAGCCGAGTATTAGTTCAATGCCTTGATCATCGAAAGATATCATTTCACTATCTATCTAATCTTCCTTGAAGATCAAACGATAGCTTCATAACCATCTATATTGACTAGCTTCAACTGACTTTGACGAGATCTTACTCTACCGGCGCCGAGATCCTTGAGCTGACGCTGAGCAGACGGTGCACGGCCACAGCTCACTCCCGCCCGGCCATGGTGTGGCGCAAACCCTGGCGGGACTAGCCTGTGGCTAGTGCTTCAGCTAGCAATTGGAAAATTCCCAATTGTCTCGAGATCGTGGTGGGCTGTAGAGAAAGACACCTCGGACGAAGCATCGTGTCTTTTGCTCAGGCGACAATGGCGGTTTCTCGAGAGGGCGCTCGCCTGGCGAGAGCCTTAAGGCAAAAGCTGCCAACCAACTACTCTGTTCCGCTATGCGCCAGAGGATTTGCCTCTACTAGAGTGGCACACAATGCCAGTGTGAAGGCTGCTGGCATCGCCGATATTGAATCGGCATCGTCGTTTTCGGCGCCGCAGCCGGACAAGGACACCATTAAAGCTTTTGAGGAGTCACAAAGCCAAAATCGGACGGGGAGACGGCTCCCAGGTAACCGGTGCGTGCTGCCCTCGCATGCTCATGTGGACGAAGCCACGCTAATACGAACATCAGATACCAGTACCATCCTCCCAAATACAATCGAGGTCCTCTGCACCCAGTCCAAGCGCCGCCTTCATCCGATCCCACGGCTCGCGATTTTGTTCCTGGACCTTTCAGCTTCCCTCGCCTGAAGCACACGTACGATAGCACCATTGCGCCAGACCTAATGACGCTCACATATAACCACATCCCACCCGGGACTACGCCAGTCGAATCGAACAAGGGAGTGCTGCGCCAGTGGGACGGATCTTCACCATATCACAAGAACCGACCCAGCAGAGGGCCAAGAGGTGGAGGCTCATCGAGGCTCGGAATATTAGAGCGGGATGTCGCCTGGCACAACATTCCCGAGATCGAGGCTGTCACCATTAACTCATATGCTCCTCTGGCTGCCGACAACAAGGAGTACCTTCATGTGGCCCGCGCCGTTGTCCAAGCCATCAGCGGCCAGTTCCCCGAGGTGACGACTGTGAAGCACAATGTCATCCACTGGGGTGTCCGAAAGGGATCAAAAGCTGGTGCCAAGACTACCCTGCGCGGTGCCGCAGCCTACGACTTTGTCGACAAGCTGGTGACGCTGGTTTTGCCCAAGATCAAGGACTGGCCGGGTATCAAGGCCACCAGTGGTGACAGCGCGGGCAATATTGCATTTGGTATGAAGCCGGCCTGGATGGCTTATTTCCCAGAGATTGAGTTCAACTACGATGTGAGTATTGTCCGGACAGAATGGCCCGGTTGCGAACCCCGAATGCTGACATTTTTGGCGATAGATGTATCCTCCTAAGCTGATGCCTGGTTGCCATATCTTTATTCACACCTCTGCGACCTCGGATAGACAGGGCAGGCTGCTCATGGAAGCATTGGGATTCCCTTTCTTTGGAAAGATTACACATTGATGGAACATCACGTCGACGACATCATTTGACGAATTTTAGAAGAGATGTGGGAGATGTAAGAGAAAAAAATTGTACAACACATGTATCGTTAAATATATAACCATGAGATACAATGTATGAATATTGTAGGATACCTCTACATGCAAGTCCCTATCGGTTGATTCATCCAAGACCTTTTGAAACGCCCCAACTCCGCCCAATGTTCCCTTTTATTGGATTTGCTTTAGAAAGCCACACTTTAGGCAGAAGCCGCAGCAGCGGCAGCCTTGACCTTTTCCCTGAGACCGTGAATGACAACATCAACGGCATCCATATCCGCAGCGTCAACCTTGGCCGCAGTAAATCCTCGCTTGTTCAGCTCTTCCGTGCAGAGATCCATCGAAGGCTGGTAATTCCTGACGGCGGAGCTCAGCGCATAGATTGCCTTGCGCCGAACATCCTCGGCCTCGTCCTCCTTCAGCGCCATCTCGACCAGAGGCGTCAGCCCACCCATGGCCAGCAGACGCTCCTGTGTGCGCTCGTTGTTCTGGACCGCCGTGCCGACGCACCACGCCGCCATCTTGCGCAGCTCGCGCTCCTTGTTGTGCAGGTGCTCGAGCAACGGGGTCCACAGATCAAGGTTGGCGATGTTGTTGGCGTTGTCGAGGTTCTCAATGAGTTGCTCGAAGTTGTCAAAGGCGATGAGTTTGTTTTCCAAGGTGACTTCGGGATCGTTGATGATCTCAATAGAGCCCTTCATCAGGTCGGCATCGGAGGGGCCGCCCATGAGAGCGGCCATCAGCTCCGGGGTGAGGTTTGTCGGAGGTGGTGCCTGGGCTTCAGCTCCAGTGGAGGGGCCATTGGGGAACTCGGTGCTCTCAGTGTTTTCGATGCTCCATCGCAGGAGGTCGTTGAGCCGCTTGTCACCCATGGTAGCGTGTTGTTTGGCTTTAGCGAGAGTACGTGTGGGTAACTGTGTAATGAAGAGGATAAAGAGATATGGAGCGCTCTCTTGCTGCTTTTGATGCTGAAATTGTTCCAAGTTCCTCAGATTTTCGCTTGTGGTAATGTAGTTTCTGGAACTTTCAAGAAGACTCTAGACTCTAGGCCAGATGTGGACTAGGGCGCAGGATGCTGGTAAGGCCACTCCTAAAAGTCCAGCCTTAGCCTTACTTGGAGTTCTATCCCGGTCAAACCGAGAAGTTGATCATCAGCTTCACTCTATAGGTAATTAAACTCGAGGTGAGCCAAATCTCCGAGGATTAATGACTGGAAATTGTATTCTCGGGCTCGGTTGATCACAGAATCGGCAGCCTTGTGTTTGAGTCGGAGAATTAACCGTAAAACAGCTTAATCTCAAGAGGCTGATTGAACGAAACGTTACCCCACTTGTTCATCTCAGCCCAGATGGTGGCTTGTACGAGTATTCCGCACTCCGTACTGTCCATCACGCAAAATCACACATGCGATGCCTGACTCAGATGGGAAGCTGATACTATCATTAGAACTCGGCCGGCGTTGGATTCTATAACCGCAACCTAGTATGAGCAACGTCATGGGCCGTCTTCAACACTAAATCTCCCAAGGAGTACGAACGGAGTCGCAGGAGCGGTACCCAGCTTTCTTGTGTCACCGAGTGAAGAAAAAGAGATGCCTAGCTGGCCCCCGAGATTCCGAGATCTGACAGGTGACGTAGCAGCAAGACCATCCTTCAACTGATTTCAAAGGGAATAGGTACAGGTAGGTACTGGCATGATTTACCCATGTACTCCGTAACTTTATGAAACAATTGCAAGTATTGCTCCGTCACGCAGGGTACTGGGTATAGGTGGTAGGCAGATAGATGAATACAAATCAGTGCCTGTGAGATTTGGAAACATTCGACCTCGGAATGGGAGAGGCTGAGCCCATGTATCCGTCTGCTTCTTTGCTCTGCCCACGTATCAGCTGTAAATAGCAACCACGCGTTGCTGAGTTGAGACAGTCTTAGAGTTACCGCAGCCTTGCCTCGCCTATTTCCTGTTCCCCTCTGGACCAGCCCATCTGCAGCATTCCGCGCCATGCAGCTCTAGATCTCCCGAAAGATCTTGATCCAGTGCTCCAGCTCCATGAAACTAACGGCGTCGCTGCGCTTGTCTGATACCCTACACAGTCCAAATCCCACTCAAGATGACTTATCCACATGCCCTCACGTGATACAAACGGAGTAGACACGAGCAGCCTGGTGAGCTTAAGGCGGCAAAGCCACTAGCCACTTTGGGCCCGGCCTGAGGTTGTCGTGTCCCCCTCCTCCGCTTCCTGCACAGCGACGTGTTGGCGTGGCCAAATGAGCTTGGCTGGGGAAATTGATAGCGAAAAGGGGGGCTAAAAGCCGTCACCAGCTCTTTGGTGTGCTTCTGCTTACTGGCACCAGCTCGGCGTCTTCTGGGTGCGAGGCCGGATTACGCATTCGATAGGCGGATAAATCTGGGGATTTGGAATGCAAGATGCCTAAAGCAAACGCTGGAAATGCTGCTGCCTCAAAGCCGTGGACAAAGAGTGTGATAATCTCTCTGCCTAACGTGAAAGGAATCAAGCCGATGTCTCATCTTGAGACCCTGCACAAAGGGCCAGAGCACGGGGTACACGAGAGATTGAAGGCCCCCCGAAAGAGCATCAAAGAAAGGGCCCCTTCGGCATGCTACCAACAGAGAGCTTTCATGATGTCAACCAGCAGCCAAAGTCTGGAGTGCCTGGGAGAACCAGCCACACATAGGACCCCCCTTATCGGCTGTCATCAACCACGGAAGGGGGGCCGTCACTTTGCGAGAGCCTCGCAAAAGTGCCCCTCCCGGAGCATCAATCTCATCTCATTCCCGGTTTGTGTGTGCCAGTATGTAGTAGTAGTATCTCGGAGCCTGGCGGTATGAAACAAGGCAAGGCGGCGAATGTTGCTTCTGGGATCCTCAGCCTTGGTGGATTGCGTATTGGGCCGCGTACATGCGTTTGCTTTGTGCTCAGCAGTTGGCATCCAATCTTTGTTGCCTCGACTAGCTCGACCCGGCACCAAATCCATCATCCATCATGACCGTGGCACAGTGAGCGATCAGGCGGTCTTTATCCTCCAGCTACAGTATGAGTACTAGCACCAAAAGTAACTGGCGGTGGATGTGCTTACAGGCAATGGAGTAAGTTGCAGCTCGACAGCAGCTGGGGGCAAAAGGTGACGATGGCGTTGATCTGGCGGTGCAAGCCCCTCCCCCTCCCCACTGGTAGATACCTTACTGTAGCGCCTAAGGAGACCTAAGGAGACCTAAAGGAGACCTAAAGGAGGTCGATGGAGAAGCGTGTTAGTGGCACCGTCGCTGATGCATAATGCGTCCATGTACTCGTACTCGTCCTTTGTAGGGCCCCAGCCACAGCCACCGCCATGAGCCAATCGCTTAAAGCGGCAGGCAGCGCTGCCATCCCCCTGTTGGGCGGCCGCGGCGGTACTCCGTGGCCTGGGCAAGGTTCCTCGCACAGAGAACGAAGCGCCAGCCGGTACCTAGACCCGGGCATCCAGTACTTTGAGCTAAGGCGGTCTCGCCCTGGTTCGCCGCCTCCCACACAAAGGCTTGCTCCACCACGCAATTGTCCCGCCCACAACTCTGGTGCCCATCGTGGTAGCGGAGATACTTACTTCCCTCCTTTCCTCCCCCTCCACTCTTTCTACTTCTTCAACAGCACCCACCCCCCAATCGCCAGCTTTCGACTGCGTGTCACCTTAATATTTCCTCACTTTCGACCTCTTTCTTCCCCCTTCAAGCTAACCCTCGAGATCCTGGGATCGCGCGAGCTTCTTCTTTTGTCTCTACCCAACTTTTCCATCAGCTTCATACATTAATCAGTCACAATGGAGGGTACGTGCACCTGCCACCAAGCATCGCGTCCGGCCACCTGGTGCCGAGGCCAATGGATGAGGCATCGCGAGGATGCGTTTGACGCTTGACACGACTTTGGCTAACGTTTGCTTTTGCTGCTCTACAGAAGAAGTTGCTGCCCTCGTCATCGACAATGGGTAAGGTTCCCTCCCCCGCCATTGTCTCACCGACCTCACAACCTCCTGTCTGGCAATCTTGTCTGCGGACCGTGAGGCGTCGCTGCTGCCAGCCACGCCGCGCTGGGACAAGGACAAATTGCATCTCCAACTCCATCACGCCGCCCTCCTTTTGCCCTTCCTGAACCTCAATAGCTGACACCTCTGCAGTTCCGGTATGTGCAAGGCCGGTTTCGCCGGTGATGACGCTCCCCGAGCTGTTTTCCGTGAGTACCCCACTTCTGCTCCCCTTACCAACTGCCCACCATAGCTATACGCTTTGGGGTGATTGGGCGTGCGCGCGCGCCACCGCACGTTTTGCTTCACAATGACAGTTTTGCTAACAGCGCCAAACAGCCTCCATTGTCGGAAGACCCCGTCACCATGGGTAAGTTGTTTGAATCCGAGCTCGCTTGTCGGCTGTTCCATTTTCGGTTCGTCATTTTTTTTTGGAAGAACACAGCATCTGACCGAATCTTGCTCAGTATCATGATCGGTATGGGCCAGAAGGACTCCTACGTCGGTGATGAGGCTCAGTCCAAGCGTGGTATCTTGACACTGAGATACCCCATCGAGCACGGTGTTGTCACCAACTGGGACGACATGGAGAAGATCTGGCACCACACCTTCTACAATGAGCTGCGTGTTGCCCCCGAGGAGCACCCCGTCCTGCTCACCGAGGCCCCCATCAACCCCAAGTCCAACCGTGAGAAGATGACCCAGATCGTCTTCGAGACCTTCAACGCCCCCGCCTTCTATGTCTCCATCCAGGCCGTTCTGTCCCTGTACGCTTCCGGTCGTACCACCGGTATCGTGCTCGACTCCGGTGACGGTGTTACCCACGTTGTCCCCATCTACGAGGGTTTCGCTCTTCCCCACGCCATTGCTCGTGTTGACATGGCTGGTCGTGATCTTACCGACTACCTGATGAAGATTCTTGCTGAGCGTGGTTACACCTTCTCCACCACCGCCGAGCGAGAAATCGTTCGTGACATCAAGGAGAAGCTCTGCTACGTTGCCCTCGATTTCGAGCAGGAGATCCAGACTGCTGCCCAGAGCTCCAGCTTGGAGAAGTCCTACGAGCTTCCCGACGGTCAGGTCATCACCATCGGCAACGAGCGATTCCGTGCTCCTGAGGCTCTGTTCCAGCCTTCTGTCCTTGGTCTTGAGAGCGGCGGTATCCACGTTACCACCTTCAACTCCATCATGAAGTGCGATGTCGATGTCCGAAAGGACCTCTACGGCAACATTGTCATGGTATGTTTTTAATTGATTCGCACAGCTTCAATTCATGTATGGTGGCGCTAATTGCATCCTCTACTCTAGTCTGGTGGTACCACCATGTACCCCGGTCTCTCCGACCGTATGCAGAAGGAGATTACTGCTCTTGCTCCTTCTACCATGAAGGTCAAGATCATTGCCCCTCCCGAGCGAAAGTACTCTGTCTGGATCGGAGGTTCCATTCTGGCTTCCCTGTCCACCTTCCAGCAGATGTGGATCTCCAAGCAGGAGTACGACGAGAGCGGTCCCTCCATCGTCCACCGCAAGTGCTTCTAAGGTAAGCTTATTTTTAGAAAGGCGCAGATGGCCGCCGTCACATGATCTCGGAAGACAAGAAGCTAACAGCAACCCGTTTTAGAAGCTACGCGAGGTCAAAGACAATACCTCACATCCTTCGCCAATCACTGGTGCCAAGCTCATGGAGGCGGCGAATCATGCAGTGCTTCCATGGCTTCGCACGTATTGCGATCGAGTCTCATATTTACGAAAAGTTTTTGACAGGGTCAAGGGGGTGGGCGTTGGCTTTTCTCCGATGGGGATACAACGGCTCGTGTATGGCAGCTGGGCTGGATGCGCAACGCGGGTCTAGGGGCTAGAAGCTTAGGTTGATACAAATATTTATTCGCTTTCCGGTCTTAGACATGTTGAATGGAACATTGTGACAATGATGGACTTGGCGTCTCAACTTCACCCATACTACACACACGGACCTCGTAGTTATATTCGTCTTCGTGTAGCGCATCATGTTTGTGCAATTGATGCTATGACCTTCCACCTTGAGACTCATGCCCAGATTGGGGACTGCTACCAGTGGTCGGACTACTGCCGTGATTGCTTGCATCTTGTCTTGTGTCGTCACTCAGCTCGAGAATCTCTATCGGATTGTTCTCAATGTTGGTAGCTTCTTCGGCACCCTCCTTCTCCTCATCCAGCAGCCGATATTTTCGTCGACTCTTTTTGGCCGCGCTGTCGGACTTTTTCTTCTTTATCGCCCCGACCACCGCTGAGCGGCTCTGGTCACCATTGGTGAATTCGTCAACCCGCTGTGCTAAAATTTCCCGGGCTAGCTTGCGGTTTTGACTGCGGGATCGAGTGGCTTGGGATTTGACGACGATGCCGGTGGGGATGTGCTTTAGTTGGACGGCCGAATTCGTTTTGTTCTAGAGAAAGCAACCGTAACGATTTTCTTAGGTGCTGTTGCTTCTAAGGACAATGAAGAGAAGAGGGGATTGTGTGTGTGCTGAAGAAAGGGTACGCACGATCTTTTGGCCGCCGGGGCCGCTGCCTTTGAGGTAGGACTCTTCGATTTCGGAGTCTGGTGGGGGTTTTGGACGGGGTGGGAGGTTCTTTGAGAGGGCGCCAAGGGTGCTGAAGAAGGGAGGCTTTGGTATGATTCTAGCTGTGAAGACGATTGGGAATATGAAGGCTGTGAGGAGTGAACGGGTGAAGCGAGACATGGTTGGAGCAAAGGCGTGTTTCTTGTACGGTGATTTGATGTTGCCCACGATGATGCTCTAGATTGACCATAGAGTCAAAGATGGCGGAGGTTGAGCCGCTAAAACGAGCAACTAGCCTTGGCTAGGCGGGCTTAGGCGTGGCTTGTGGCGTGCACCGTGCTATAACGGCGCTGGAAAGTTAGCACGGAAAGCACATGCAGCGACATCAACCGGGCCGGAACGTGTAATTTTGGACTTTTGCCTTTTTCTTCCTTTCCTCCATCATCCTTCTGACCCGAAACGACACATTGGCCTCTCCACGAGCAACACCTCGCGATTCGAGAACAACACCGTCAAGCGGCAAAACCTACGAAGCAGCTTGCGCATTGTGAGAAGATAAAGGCTCTCGGAGAAGAACACCGGACCGTCTGTTGGGTGGAAAGCATCTCGTCAATTCAATTCAACATGGCGTCAAAAGGCATCAAGAGCATGTTGCAGCGGAAGATGCTCCAGATTGATGTGACGTTTGGGACTTATCTGTTTTCGCCAATAGAGAAGTTTGCCTATTGTATGTTTCTTTTCTCTTGCCTATTGCCGTCTCCCTCTTTCTTCATTTCTCTTCTGCCGACGATTCATCTATTGCTCTCGTGACCCCCTTTTGGGTGGGATGATGATTGATTCCGGCAATCCCGCTCACGACACAGCATCCCCAGAATTATTAAAGAATTGCTGCTAACGAGAACTTTTTTTTTTCAACTGTCTAGATTCGATTGTCTTCTTGCTCTTTAGCCTGCTCTCCATCGCCGTCATCCTATACCTCCCGCATCACATTTCCATTCTGACCGGTCGCGCGTGGTACTACATCAACGGCGAGACTATTGACATTGCGGCGTTCGCGCGGGACGTCTTTGGCAGCGCGCTGGGGACTGGTAAGGACGCTGCGGCGGTTGTCAGGGAGCTGTGAGGTGGGATTGATGGGATGAGGCTCTTATGAAGTTTATGGATACGAAAACTGGGACTGGGAAGAGTGAACCGATGAGCTGCTACCTGGCGAATTGGGCCATTTCGACGTAATATGGAGAGCTTAGCGAGAGGCTCTAGTTGACGCAGTCTGGTTCGACTTGTTATTTTAAAATCTGGCGTTGGGTCGATTTCCGAGGAAGCCTAATAGAATGACCAGCCTTTTACGGTTTAATGATGGTACATTCAGGTTAATAATAATACGCCCCTAGAAGTACTACGAATTAATTGAGAACAATACAAAAATTTGCACGGCGATGGAATGTCCTGTTTATTCGTGTTTGGCCAAATCGTGAATGCATGGTATTCTATCCAAGTGGATTTTAGGTGCCTATGACTGTTTCTGCTCCTTAAAGTATTCCTCCCCAAAGCTGTATAGCCTCAATGAACTATCCTCTCCTGCAACGGCGAGTTCATACTTGCTTTCCTCTTCATCCTTGCTTACCGGCCGCCATGCCAGTTGAAGCACGGTCTTGGGAAGAGTTAACCTATCCATGACTGTCAGTTAAATTCCGAGGAGAGAAGAAAAGCGAGAATCTTGAGCGTTTCAGCTTCAAAGAAGAGAAACAGGAAACAAACTTACTCAGAAGACGTCGGCAACTCTGAGACAGAGGAGCCATCTTGGGCTACCATGCACAGGCTAACCCGCCCACTCTCGGTGCCGACTGCGAGGATGTATTTATCACCAGCCAGCTGTGCCAGGAAGTCGACTGATGTGACAGGACCGTCGGAAGCCAAAGCAGATACTTGGATGAACTGGGCTTTGGCGTCCTCGGCGCCTGGCTTTGATAGAGACCATATTCTGACTTGCTTGTCACGACCGGCCGTGGCGAACAGAGGTGCCGCAGAGGGAGCCCATGCGGCATCGAGGATCATTCTCGAGTGGCCCTTTGCGTTGGCCTGCAGTAGCTGATACTGGACAGCGCCGTCTTCTCCGACGCCTCGCTCAAAGACAGCCCACTGGCGGTCACGGCCGACACTCAGCAGATACTTGTCGTCGGAGGAGAAGCGCAGCCGAGTGGCTGTCAAGGAGTGGGCTGCCAGCGGGGGTCTGAGCTCGGTCCACTTGTCCGTCTCGAAGATGCGGATGACGGCGTGGTTGACGGAGCTGGCCTTGCAGGCGCTGGCGATGAGCTTGCCGTCGTGGCTGGCGGCAAGGCACGAGATTTCGTAGCCGTGGCCGTAGAGCTTCTCCGTCTCGGGCCAGAGGGTGTGTCGGGAGAGGGTTTCTTCAAAGGGCGGGTGGTCAATGTCTAGATAGGACTTCTTGACGATGGAGGCCGGGTCGACGGCGTCTCGGTCGCGGTCGTCTATGGGTTGAATCTCTTGGTCGTCGTCCAGGGCGTCGATGGCCTTGTTCGAGAGGCCCAGCACGGGCATGTTGGCGGCGTCGGGCATGTCTGCAATGTTTGCTCCTTCGACGCCCCCTAGACGACTGAGCATGGTGGCCACCGCCTTGGGCTCGCTGAAGACTCTCATGAGCTTCTCGTCGGCGCCGGACACAAACTGGGAGGAGCCTAGTGAGTCGATGCAGTTGAGGTCGTAGCCGTGGATCTGGGGACGGGACATTTCGTGCCAGGTGCCAGAGCTCTTCCACTTCATGTGGAGGCGAGTTGTCTGATCCGAGCTTGTAGAGAGGAGGAAGCCGCCGTCTTTGGACCACGAGATGCCGGTGACGGCTTTTGTGTGACCAGAGATGGCTACGCAAGGCCGCCAGATATCTTCCGAGACGTCATACTCCCATCTTCTCCAACTGCCTGTTCTACCTAGGCAAGCCACTGACCTTCCATCAGGAGACCAGAGACCGGTCCAGAAACCACCAGTGCTGCCTGTTGCCGTTGTAGCGCCCTTTTCTCTACTAATCTCTCCAAGTCTGACCATGCTGACCCAGATACCGGAGCTGGGATCGGCCTCCCAGATAGCCAAGGAGTTGTCCGCAGAAGCAGACAAGAGTTGCAGCTTGCCATCGGCCTGAGAATGCCACTTTGCGCTATAGATCCAGTCCTCGTGGCCCAGCAGCAAGGCTTCAAATGTCACGGAAAAGTCTTTGCCGGAAACCTTGAGCCAGTGTGCTTTGTTTGATGGGGATTTTCCAGGCATGAAGGCGCCGCTTGATGGGTCTGAGCCTTCGGCAGCCAGGGCGGGGAGCTCTTTGCCCTGGTGAACCCTCCAGATTCTGATGTACTTGTCCTGGCTGGCTGACGCAAGAAGCAAATCGCTGTCTGGGCTGTCTGTTTCTCTTGAAAAGCTTAGGGATCTCAACCAACCCTCATGGCCGCTGAGTGTTGCCTGAAGCTGGAACTGGACGTTGTCTGCCTTTGTCTCGGCTGTGAGGATCTGGATGACATCCCTTGTGCCTGCTGAGGCGAGGATATAAGCGTCGTTATCGGCGCCGAGAGTGCTGAGCGAGAGTGAGAGAGGGAAGTATTTTGGCGCGGTGTTGATGGTCTGGACTAGTTGCAGTCGGTCATGCTCAAAACTCCATATCCTGATGGTGGCATCTGCTGCTCCTGTTGCGACAATCCATTTCGGCTGGTCGGCAGCAACTCGCAGGGCGGCAACGCAGTTTACAGGCCCAGTGTGTTCAGTTGCCGTCTGAAGCAGCCTGAAGTCTTGTCTATCATCGGTAGACTTCCAGACAGCTATGGTCTTGTCATCTGAGCCGCTGATGAAATACGTCGAGAGGTCATTGTCCAGCTCTGGTAGAAACGATATAGCCTTGACAGTTTCCTTGTGCCCGTTCAAGAGTCTAAATACACCTCTATGAGGGTTGGCCTAGAATAAAATATCCAAATCAGAGACATGCTTCTAGAGAGAGAGGAACACATTGCATGTGGAAGCATGATATCATGGCAAACTTCAAATGATCAAACTCACAGCTGGGCGCCATAGAGCGATATTGCAATCGGCTCCATAAGCCAGCAGCCCCGTCCGACTCCAGTCTGCAACCGCAGTCTGTCTATTCGCACCGGCAGCGAGATGCTCTACCGTCAAGCCTTTCGAGCTCATATCACCAGTATATTTCTGCCCGTTTATGTGTGGACTTGACTGAGACTCAGATTCATCGGCGGGAAGAGGGATCCACGTGACAAGGTTGTGTGTGACAAGAACTTTTTTTTTCTAGGTGGTTTTTGGCGCTTGCACGGTACGGGGCAACTAAGACAGAGCAAAGACTATGGAATGTTACAGAGCTATAGTACCTATTGCTATTCAGTTATTTTAAGTTTGGAGATGATGATATATATTTTACTTCTAGGTAGTTGAATACGCTGTAAACTGTACAAGTTGCATTAATCTGAATATATTCAGACATCCGGGTATTATGACATGAAATTTCTGGTTTGAGACCTGGGGTAGTGGACATGTATACGGAGTGCTAGAAGCATCAATCCTTCTAAGAGCACTTGGAACAGCGCTTATTAGTCGCTGCAATTTAGGGCTGGTGCGGACGGGCTAGGCCGGAACAAGGGCTAATGATACGCCGCGCCTGTGTCACTTCTGCCGCCGTTATCAGATCCGAGTCTGTCTGCCAGATGCCATCGCAACCAACAACTCGATCTCCGTGAACAGTCACAGCCCGCTGGATCGAGCCTCATCGCAATGGCTTCCACCCCCGACGATACCACTGCCCATCTCTCCCTCGACGTGGAGTTTTCGTAAGCATCCCCCTTCTCATGCGCCTAAAGCACTCTCGTCACATATCCTCTCCCTCCCTACAGCCGGACCATTCTCGAGACGCCATAATGGTGATACTGTGGCCAGCCTCGTCGCATCTCCTCCTCCTTTCATTTCCTCGTCTGGGCTCTCATACATGTCAAGGGTAGGCTAACTGTGGTGTACAGAGGAGGCCTCGAGATGCTCTTCTCGGACCAACGCCGCCACTCCCTCACTCTGCCTGCCAAGGACAAGGATGGCAACCCTTCCAACATTGCGTATTTGATACATCATCTTTGCGAGAGTGTCATGAAGGATACTCGCAAGGAGCTTTTCGTCCTGCAGGAGCATCTGTATGTCTCATCACCCTCCCCCACGCGCCTCTGTGTTTGAATCGATAGACGGTCTTCTTTGGATCTCTACGAGTACCTCCCCTGGTCCCCTTGCCCCTTCAGCTACACGGCCAACACAGTATCAAGACCATGGCTCGGCAGTGTTTGTGATGAGTTGCCTCCTGTATCAACCCTAGCCTATCATAGAGCCCTCACGGCGAAAGGACCAACAATAGCACTTCATTTTATTGCACCTAGTGGCAAACTGATGCTAATCTCAACAGACGACCAGGTATCCTGGTACTCATCAATGATGCGGACTGGGAGCTGGAGGGAGAAGAAGAATATGAGCTGAAGAGCGGCGACAATATCCTCTTTGTATCGACCCTGCATGGCGGCTAAAGCTTCAACACGGGCTTTGACTCGTCCGTGCTAGATGCGTGTGTCCATTTTCTATTGTTAGAGCATTGCCTCCTCCCAAAGCAGCAGCGTACGAGTACCACCCCGTACTCCCTGCATGAAGGAATTATGCGGCGCCTGGTGGTCGATTCCACGTCGTGACGATGGGTGGCTCAGCTGGGACGGTTCAGCTCGCTATACACTGTACCGGCCAACAAGATTCATGCCTCACTGCCAAGACTCACATGAATCTTTGTCGAGATCCGAAGCTTTCTGTTCTGCTGCCCCAGCTTCGTGCGCCACCTATACAAACGCGGGGGGTGCAGATCAAGAAGATGTTCCATGGGAAGTTGAAAGAACCGGTCTTTCGGTTGACGGACCCCCCTCGATACCCAAAGCTACGTTTTATACGGAGCACTCTATTCAAACCATGATACTAGCGTTGTTATCTCGCTGCGCTCTCGCGAAGCTGTCCAAATTCATAACCGAGCGCATGTTCTCGCTTCAGCAAAGTTGTGCGCGCTCGTACGAGTATACACGCCCGCCGTCTCACTTGCTTCGTTCTCTCCAATCATCGTGACCCAGTGTTGAGTCCTAGGATCCCTCGTCTCTCATCTCGCAGCATGTGTTCTTGATATTGTCATGGCGGTGAGCCATGCAATGCATACCGTCGTCATCGACAACTCCTTCGTGCTGATGCTGGACAATGCGAGCAAATCACGGCCTTGACCACATCACACTCGATGCAGATGCAGCTCTACCAGGTTCAACAACGATTCAGCATTGAGCGGTGAAAACGAAGGGCAGGATGGCGCGAGCCAAAGAACTCATGCATCAAGGCACTAGCTGATACTCGGCTGCAACGATGCCTGCACCAAGTTTTCGACGTGTAATATTCCTCATGGGCGTTCATCTTCGGCAATGTGTCGAATGCGTGCAGCAAGCAGAGCTGCATCTATGGACGCCACCTCCATTTCTCCGTATCATCTCTGTCTTGTCTGTATACGAGCCCACGGCTCCCCGCGCCCTTTACGCTTCAATCCGGCTCCATTTCCGTTTCGGCCTCGACGTTGTTGGGCCGGTCAGCGTATATACCCATGGAAGCTCGCGGATAGTTGGGGGCCGTAACTAGCATGCGCAGTCCGAAAGGAAATCGTCCATCCAGCAGCCAGCATACGCAACTTGGTGTGGTTCACTTTTACAGCCATGTTCCCTGTCCTTCCTCACACGTGCACACAAATGGTATCCGTCAGTTCAATGTTTTCGCATTGGACCCTCGGCAGCGCTTCTGCGCCGACCCCCCACCATTTCCTCCGCCTCAGTTTTTTCCCCTCTCACCTCACTCTCTAATAATGGGGTGATGCCGAGCCTTGAGAGCCTTTTTGGCTGGGCGTGACCATCTCCAGGGGTTTGATGACATTTATTATTCAGAACAATGAAGAACGATCCGATTTATTAACCAACGCCCCCTCATCTCTGCTCTTGCTCGTGTCACTTTTACACCCAATCTATCACATCCCAATACAACCCACCAGGTACTCGTACATGCATCCGAATCCTTTCGTCCCAAGTTTCCAATCCCTACCCCCTCCCCAGCCAGATGCAGCGAATGAGAACATCTCTGGCGGTGTTTTCCATTTCTCTCAGGTTCAGCCGCTCGGGGGCTCTTCAGCAGGAAAAATCCCCCGTGCGCCCGCAAGCAGCAGGGGGGGTTTACAGAGTGTGTACTCGTACCATTTTCCCTCTTGGTGCGCAACAGTTTTTTTTTTAGCTGCGTTTTTTCTCATATTTCTGTTTTCTTTGCCGTCTCGCAATAATCTATTTGCTTAGCCTCTGCGGCTGAGATGAGGGCCGCTTTTAAGAATCTGACCGGGGGGAGTTGGGATCCGGGTTGCTGGGACTCGTGCGGGTTGTGCTCTGGATCAGACGCGCGGGCACGCTTCGTTCAGTATTCCACATCACTTCGGCAATAACGAGAAACGACGCAGATTTGCAATCACCATGACGATTACGCCATGACTAGGGAAGTCTTTTTCCAAAGAGGTAGGTAACATGAGATAACAGACGCAAGGAAGCCCATCATGCCAGTGGACAAAGTTCCTCAAGTCGAGAGCATCTAAGCTCTCCCTTACAGCAAGATCTACCCACCCAAAGCCCCAAAGCACACATTGCCCCCCCCGTGTTTTACAGCTTCGTGGCCTCATTACGGCACACCCAAATCGCCGCGTTGAATGCAAGGGGCGTAAGCCGGATTTCTCCAGCAGTTCCCACGATTGTTACAGATCACTCTGCGTGGCTGAAAAAAAAAACGAGGTGATGCTAGGTGCGTGGGTGCTATACCGATGTGATATCCTCTCCCCCCCCCCAACACGCCCCCCAGATTTGCGTACTCGTACAGTACGCGGGCGTGTCGTCTCATTGCCTTCGGTTGGAACTAGGAACGCCGGAATGAAACCCCGTGACATGCAATCCCCAGCCTGACGATACAAGCGCGGCGACACTATTCGCTCGACGACATCATCCCTGTAGGTACTTTGTTACTTTCTTCCTTGTCGTAATGAAGCATCATAATCACGTCCAAGGGGTGCCAAAACTGTGCAGAAAATGCCAAACTATGTTGTGATGTTTGAAGCTAGAGTGTTCCCAGGACGATATTTATAGGAAAATAACAAATCAACATAAAATAGCAAAGAGCAAAACGACCAAAGCCTAGAATGCCACCAAAGATCCACCGTGATTTGCTTCTATGATTGCCCTCTTCGTGTGAAGAAGCATGCCCAATACCTTCCATATCATACCAGATTATACAGCCGCCCATGAAACATCCAATACCAATACCAAATCCGAGTACAAACTAACGACAAACAAAAACCCTCACCAATAAGTTTTGTAGATGTATTAAAACACACAACATGCCACAACACCTCCTTGAAGCGAAAACAAAGAAGAAGAAAAAGCAGAAGTCCCTCCAACAGTAGCAATGTATCGTGATACATGCAAGGGTATCTGTGTGACCAAAAATTTCAAAATGCCTCTCCCAATTCCTTATAGTGAAACACGTCGAGCCGGCTTAAAGCTCAACCATATCCATATAACCCAAATCCCAATAGCTGCTGGCTATGTCGCACAACATCCCGAATGCTTTATGCTTTGTCGCCAATCACTGTGTCGATTTTGTCGTCGCTCTATTCCACACTCATATACCCAATACAAAATTTGGGTGTTGATTTTTCCCTTCGTCTTTTCTTTTAACCTTTTGTCTTTCTTTCCGGTCGAGGATAGGTAGCTATAATAATGTTGCATCCCTTGTTTGTACCATGTGAGCACCGATCATTGCAATCGTAACCTTGTCTTTGCTAATAGCTGTATCTTGGCCGCTTCGTAAAATCATCATAAAACGGAATGCCGCGTTTTTAATGATTCTTAGAATAGCCGTGTTGGGATCCCCATTTGGAGAGACCCATCTCATACATAGTCGGAGGCGACGGTGGTCCATAGTGACCAAAAGAAGGATTGGGGTTACGCAACACGTTGCTCAAGCTATTGGCGGGCACCTGAGGTGTGGCGTATGGTGGAGGTCTGCCTTGAGAGATTTCTTGGCTTTGGGCTGGCATAGCCATCTGAGGCAGCTGGGTGGTGGCAGGAGCCTTGAGTTGGGCAGTTACAGTAGACTTGGCATTTCGAGAGGCAGCATCTTGACGCCCGCGAGCTGCCACAGCACGAGTCTTGCCTCGGCCTTTGATCCCCTTGTTGCTGTTCTTGTAGTGTTTCTGGAAATATTCGAAAAGGTCGTGGTAGTTTTCAGGCACTTCGCCATGCTCGGAGAATTGCACAAACATCTGGGTGAGCTTTTGTAGCGTCGGCTTGTGAAAATTGTTCTGGTGTGTCTACAAATCCCATATGTCAGGCTGGGCTGCTTGTTTGTACTTGATCATGGATTACTCACCTTCATGTTGCCCAGCTGGGAAAATGATTTGTTACAATCGTCAAGCCGGCAGACAAACGGCTTGAGACCTTTATGAGTCTCTTCGTGAGAGCGAAGATTTCCTCGCTGAGCAAAGGTCTTGCCGCATACACTGCAAGAGAACGGCTTTTCGCCCGTATGGCGGCGGATATGAGTCTGTAGACGACCGAATCAGTCAATGTGAATGCAGCTATGAAGAAATTCGATAGGATCTACCTTGAGATTCCCGCGCTGCGAAAACGTAAGGCCGCAGTTTTCCTTGTCACAGACCTATCCACCATTAGTGACGTTGCAATGGAGAGGAGACTGGACACATACATATGGTCTTTGGCCTGTGTGGGTGCGTATATGAATATCCCGGTGGGTTTTCTGAACAAAGGATTTGCCACAGTTGGGGCCATCGCACACCCACTGCTTTCTAGGCTTTCCATTTTGGGTGAGAAGTACGGGTGCATCTGATACACAAGCTCTCGGTGTCTGCACAGGCGTGGGGGCTTGTTGATGCTCTTCGGTCGTATGTGTCTTCTGAATGGCTTTCATGAGCTCGTCGACGTCAGTTTTGAAGTTGATGCTGTCGCCCGGATGAAGTGTCTCGTTATAAATAAGAGTCTTGGAGTTGGTGACCTGACTCGCAACCAAAGGGGTTGGAGTAACGGGGCCCAGAGAGACGAGACTCGAAGCGACAGAGCCGGGAGTGCTAGGGCCGGCGGAGGATTTGGTAGCAACAGAAGAAATCGACCCTCTCCTTGAGATAGGAGAATAGGGTTGGTAACCTCTCATGGGCTGGGAATGGCGTCGATCGACCATAGAGTTGGCCATACGCGCATGAGAGTGTTCGGCAAATTCAGTCTTGAACGGAGAACCAAGCGGGGTTGATGGCGGCGGACTCTGATATGCCATGTAGGAAAATGTGCCCGGATGTTGGTACTGAGGAGACGAGACTGTCGACATGGGGGGCTGATTATAGTTGGAGTCCATCAGGTACTGGGTGGATATCTGGCGTTGCATCTGGCTGCCAGCTTGGACTCTGGGATCAAACGGCATGAATTCAGAAGAGCTCATCATGGGGAAGGTTTGTGGGATCTGCTGAGTCCAACGGCTCCAGTTGGCCTGAGTCTGCTGTTGATTTGCGAGGGCCATGTTTGCCAGCCAGTATTCCGTTCCGCGGCCACAAATCTGATCTAGTCTGATCAAATCGAGCAAGTTGGGCGTGACCAAGAATACAAGTGTCTAGGAAGGGGTCAGGTAGTTGGAGGGATGATGACGAGTATGGAAGAGACTCTGCTTTTCAAAGGGTTATTGTAGCCAATTCATGGATCAAGATAAAAAATGAGGGCCTCTGTCAAACAGATAGGGGAAGAGGAGGACCTTCTGGAAGGTGGTGGTGGAGAGGGTTATATACTGGGGACCTGGGCTGGGGAGATCTTGGGAGAGCGATATGATATATAGGTAATTGGCATGAGGAGCAATCTACCAGGTTTGTGGGCGACTGGGGTGGTTGTGTGGAAGCCCAATCGCCTGGTACTGTGAGCCGGAGATCTTGGGCTGGTGAGTAGCCATATCCAAGATGTGACTGGGGCCCAGCCTCTGGGATGGGGCAAGAAGCCAGGCACACAGCATGAGTACAAGGGGGAGCGGAAAGGCAGAGGCGATTCAAGGACAATAATTGACAAGTGATGAAATCTCAAGTACCGATAGAGCGCAGACATGAGGCCTTTGCTCCGGGAGGACGGTAAGAGTAAGCCAAGTAGGTAGTACCCAGGCTGGCGGACGTTGTTCACACGCCCCCTTCTAAAATAGAGGCTAAAGAGGATCCCCCCCCGTCTTAGCTGAGTGATTGAGATGTGAAAGCTGGAGGGGATGGGAGAGGGGGTGTGACAAGATACGACAGGGTTGAAATGGGGGTCCAAAACCGAGCCTTTTGAGAACTAACCAAGGCAGGCCATGATGCTGCCAACTTGAAGCAAGTAACAGAGAACTGGAAGAGATACCAGAGAGCAGCCGAACAAGGGGCCTCGTAAAGGGAAGAGAGAGTAAAGAGGCTATGTTGAATACTAGGGTGTTGGTTCATCCTTACAGGACTTGTTGCCTCCTTGCCAACCGGGATAGTGGCATCGCCGGCGGGCTCCTCACATCGGACCAAAAACAGGTAGATGGACTTTTTTTTTCGCAGCAACGTGACCTGCGTACGAAGCGCTTCATATGAGCATATCCACCGTCGCTTAAGCTGCCCAGCAGTAAGGCTCGGGCCCTTGCCACGGTCCCTTAGTTGGGCCCGTATGAGCACTGCGGCTCCCACACGCGCAGCAGTAGATTTTCGGCACGCATTAGGCCTCGGATAAAGCGATAGTTGCATGTATGTCTGAAGAAGACGGCAGCTGCTCGGACGCAATAGTCTGTCGCTTCAGTGCGAGCTGAGACATGTTCAAGCCGGCGAATTGGCCACTTGCAGTAGGTAATAAGTTCTGGACTGCAGTTGCAAACAGTGACTGGCCATCCATCATTGCCACCAGAAGAGGAGGAGAGGGGAGCTGGGGAGAAGAGCTGGGGAGTTTTCCCAAAGTGTGGGTGTGAATCCTCTGGGCCCCAGCCTGATGATGCCCGTGGATGCCGTGGGGGTTAGAGCGAGAAGCTCCAAGACGAACAAAGGGACGATGGACTGTTGGACCTGGGCGTTACAAGCATCTTTGGTCTGACTTGAGGCATGGCTGCTGTATCTTCCGGTTCACGATTCGCTTCTTTGCAGATTATCCTTTCTTTTCTCCTCCGTCTCTTTTCCTTTTTTTCTCCAGAAGATCGTTTTCTGCAAACCGCGGGTTCTCCCAGAAAGAGGGCGAAGCTGCCCAGGTTGACCAGCTTCTGAGGTGGGATGAAGAGGAGAGGCGGTTGTCGAACAGGGGGAATGGCAAGGACTGGAAATGACCAGTGGAGAGAAGAAGCGGGAGGTGTGTGTAGAGAATGAGGGGTGTGGTCTGAGAGGTCCACTGGTACAATATCTGATTGACGGTTTGGATGCCCGCGGCAGGCGCACCGGGCGTTGGTGCAGCGCGGGTGCAGGAGCAGGAGCAGGAGCAGGAGCAGGAGCAGGAGCAGGAGCAGGTGCAGGTGCAGGTGCAGGTGCAGGCAGGCAGGTGCAACTGGAGGCGGTGGGTTAGAGCTTGGAGCAACCGCGAGGGGTCATTTTACCATTTCGGGAAGCCAGGGGATCCCTGATATGCTGATGACAGTCTGTCTAGGGGCTAAAAAAACGACGAGGAAGGGCGACCGTTACAAACTGTGCTCGGTACTACCTAACCTATCGAAATCCTCATCTCTACGAGTACTTGGCAGCATGTGAAAATTGCAACGGTAATAGTTGTACTACAAGCTACTAGGTAGTATCGTTGGTGTGATTGGAGCCCTATCTACAGAGGCTTAGAGATGGATTGGCAGTATACCTAGAAGGTGACATTGATGAGCATATCTGGGGCTTAATTTGGACACTACTAAGGTACTAGGTAGTAGGTATCAAGGTACGGCAGACAGGCCGAACAGACAAAGGCCATGTAAAATTTGTCAGTGCCCAAGGTAGATACGAAGAAGACAAATGCCAGCACACGGCTGAAGATGATTCCTTGTGCGGCTCGTCTCTGATCAGATGGCATTAGGTTCCAAGTTAGTACCTACCAACTGGAATGCATCCATGCCCTGTACTGCTCAAAACAGGCACCCAAGGTACTTTAACTTAGATGTGAGGACGCCGCCAACGTCAAAATCATTCTCGTCCTTGCCTAAGGCTAGGTACAGATGAATATTTAGCCTACCATTGCCGTAACATCCACATGCCCATTTCAACACCATTACTGTTCAGATGTACCTTTGCAGCTTATTGTCGACATCAATGCTCCAAGCCAGCATTGCCAAAGCGACAAAGAAAGCCGCCATCATCTACCTCAAGTCACACAAAGCGCAAGATATTGCATGCGCCTTGCACGTACCGGCCCTAAAGGCGGAGCCGGTGATCGTCTACTAGTGGCACGGCAAGCTCCCAGCTCGGCTGCCGTTCATAAAAGCCGTGGGCGTGTTTCGCACAGTCATTTCCAGGGGACAAAGATGCAGCTACTGTACTGTCCAGTAGTGAACGAACCCAATGCCATCAGAACTCTACTTGTACCCCCCGTTGCCGTGCTCGTGTTCTGCTCCGTGTGTCACTGGGTGGTCGGCCGCCCAGTCATGCCGCTCCGGACGGTTCTTACCGGTGGACCCCCATTTCCCGGAGAGCTTCATCTCGCACACTTTTACGGAGTAGAACGTACCGTATTGATGAGGAGGGGGACAATATACCATCCAATGTTGTATTGTCAGTGTCATGGAAAGCCAACAAGCGTGCCTTACACTGGTCTAGACAGAGAGTCTGGCCAAGTCTCCAGCACATATGCTGAGTGGTATTCGGTACCTGTCCGTCCCATGCACGTGCAGCAAGGACGAGTCCAGCTTGGAGTGAAAAACGAGAAAAGAGTCTCGAGGTCCAAATTGGGTAATATTTGGCAAATTCTCGCATTTGATTCGTCCACGGCCTCGCCATGACCCTTTGGGCTAGACTTCTTTTCTCTCTTTCTCCTGCCCATCTACTAAGTCACTTCACACCCTCACACCTCACACCTCCCACCCCCTCACACAGCGTCTAGCTCCAACATCCCAAAAGGCCGCGGATGCTCAATCGTTACCATCCAGCGTTTCGCTTCATGCATGAACGGGCAGCTCTTCAGATTTATTGCAGACGCCACATCTTGTCCTTCGGCACAGGCGTACTTGCCAGCACGGCTGCCGGAAGGATGCCTTGAATAATATACCTGTATGAGTGCGTGTTTTTCACTCCAGACCACGAATACTAACCTAGCAGATGTTGGGTGCGAAGCATGCCCAGTGTCATTTCGGGTTCTCAATGAAGAGCCTCGCCAATTTCTGCCATCGTCGGGCATACGAGTACAGTATGAATCCTTTAGCTGGACGTGTCCGAGCTGGTGGATGCCACTCTTACATTACTCCGTACAAAATTTCGAATTTCCTCACGCAGCGAAAACTGTGCACCGTACGTGTACCGACTATTAATAGAAATGCGTCGCCATAATTTCACGTCAAGATTATCCCTTTTATTACGCACGCAGGGAGGGGTCGAAACCGACACACCGAGGCAGATATGCCTCCATGTACAGCTCGCTCACAGCGCCAAGTGCCGGACACGCAAACTAACGCGTTTGTTTTGTGCGACTGGCACAACCTCATAGGTACAGGTTGCACAAAATCGTGGTGACCAGCGAACAAGGGCACACGCAGGAGTTCCGATTTCTTGGGACTCGATCAATCTGTGAACATCACTCAATGTCAGGGGGGTCCGTGACAGGGATGTGCAGAGATCCTAGCCAGGGGATTGCACCCGGTTGGCCAGCCATGTCACGAGACGTCCCTCTTCAAAACGAGGGTGGGCGAGAGCCCGTACAAGTACGTCGTACTCCGTCCACACCGTGCGGTGGCAGTCGTTGTCATTTCTGAGAATTGTGCTTCATCCACGTCCCGCAAAGCCGCTGCTGCAGTAGCTCAGTGACGGAGCGGCTTCGTGGCCATGGTACATCGAGCAGCATGACTGCATCTGCAAGGGTACATGCAAGGCCATCAAGGCACCCAAGGCACCTTTTCGCGCTCTGTCTTTGAGCCCGTCTGCTTGGGAATTGGAGGGTGAAGCAGAGGATGGGGCTCTGTTTTCAGTCTTCTCCAACGGCTCGATTTTTTCCAGTCACGTTACAAGCACCTTGATTTGTCCGTTGGGACAGTACCTACGGAGTACACGTATAGGGCCTGCTACTGATGCGGTGGCGATGAGAAAAGGGGGGGGGGGAGTCGCACGTCCTTCGCCTTGTTGAGAGCGGCCAACTCGCAAGGTTCTCAAGTAATAATAGCGACATCAAAGTCTCCGGGATGTTCTCTCCACCGCGCTCACCTGCTGTCACAGCGAACAGAGCCGGGTTTTTTTTCTCTCACCTGCCTGAGGTGCCACCCAAAATAAGCCGAACGTCGTCAAGCACGGTTCGCAAAGCGCCTATGGCAGCCTTTATTCCCTGAAAGCGGGCTTCCATCCGAGTTTTGTCAGTGCAGAGCATGCT